TTTTATGAGTTCCATAACTCAAATTCGGACAAGAACACATTCCTAAGTTAGAAATAAACATTCTTACAGTTAATAAAAAGTCTTAAAAATAAACTTAAATCAAAGAAGAAAGTCTGTTTCATTACATTTTTCCTTTTTGGATGACTTTCTAATAAGATATTATTAACTCAATCATGCGTATACTTAATTTTCTATTCAAATGTATGTTGAGCTTGCATATAAACATTTTTCTTTGCTTTAATTTAAAACCCAGTATTAACATTTAGACTATGTCCTTACTATATACAAAAAAATGTTTAAATAATTTTTTAAAAAAACTTTCTAAAGAGGAAAATAGATCAAATTTGTTTTGAAAGTTAATGGGAGGGGGCAGCTGTAATTGCCTAGTTAATGTTTTACTGTACAATATGAAACACATGCCATAGTGTACAGCTGAGTCTCTAGGGAGATAAATGTTCACAGAACCAGAACAAAGAGGATGATTTCTGAGGAGAGAGAGAGAGAGAGAGAGAGAGAGAGAGAGAGAGAGAGAGAGAGACCCATTTTTTGTTTTGTTTTCAGACAATGAATACCCTGGGCCTTTCAATGAGCAAATGAAGCAGGAATTCTCAATATAGTAACAACTATCATATGTGACTGTGGTTGCTATGGCAAATATTTTCTTAAAACACAGAAAGAATAACCACATAAAATTGGCATCAATTTCTCTAGCCGCAGTTAAATTCTGACCCCAGCTTATTTTATTGTAATAATAAACTCAATATTTGAAATTACTTAGTCCCTCAATTTTGAGCCAATTCTTTTAACTTACTTGTATAACTAAAAACCCATTAGCAATAAAGAAAAAATAACCACCACTCATTCCCTTTGTGCCTGTGAAACTAAGAAAAAAGCTGTTTTCCATCTCCTTCATTCATTCCTTAAAACATTTACAAGGGCCCTAAATTACATGGGATATAATTTCTTAAAATATGCCAGTCCATCAACAATTATTCATTAATGTTCCCAATATACATGTCTTCTAAACAAGTAGTCTTCACTGAAATTTAAGAACATGAAGGAATTTAAAAACACTTTAACAAGATGCAATTAGTCTGACTTTTAATTTCTTAGCATGACTACAAAGGTAGTCAAGTATAAAGAATGAAATAACAATTCATCATAGATGTAGTATATGTCAACATCAAAGGTATTTACAGGTATTACTAATTCGTTCTTCTAAAAATATTTTAAGATGTGTGTGCTCTACCTGATTAATGATCTTGGAAGTTTCTTCTTTAATTTGTTGCTAAGAGTATAGTGAACACATATAAAACCAGGATGGGAATATGGAAACTACTGACATCAATTTTTTCCCTAACTTCATCAGAGCGTATTTTAAAATAAAAGAGGATACACTCGAAACAGAGAAGGGTTCAGGGGCTAGTCACGGAAAAGATTAGAAGTTCAGAAAACAACACCATCACAAAGATTAAAAGGACTGAAACTCTTCAGTCAGGGAAAATCTGAGGAACAAATTAATAGGTATCTACGTACACATGAAGGCGTGTGCACAGAAATTAGTGCAACCAGCTGTTTTCCATTGCCAATGGAAAAGAGGAAACAGACAAATTAAAGCCAAAGATTCTTGTTTAATATTAAGAATGGAGTAAAAAACATTATAATTGTATATACCTATGGAAATTCTTTTTTCAGAGGCCTTTAGAAAATATCAATTTGCATAAGGACGACTAATATTTTGATGTGGTACTTGTACTTTGTGGTAGTAAAACAGATATCATACAACCAAAATGCATAGCTCTGGCTCACACTCCATTAAATACCCTCAGACCCAGATAGCATAGAAGAGCAGGACATGTTCAGTGTCCACAGGGAGTTCCAAACTACTGCAACCACACCATATATAGCTAGATTTCACCACGTCTGTGAAGAAAATGAAGGGTTTCTAATAATCCAGAAACATTATGGGTATTTGCAATCAGCTGCATTAAGGGGCCAGTTTACTGTTGTCACACGTTCTGGCAGGATTAATCTTACTAGTTAAAGGGGCATATAATAGCTGGTTTTGTTTCTTTGTTTTTCCTGGCGGCTGTAAAGTCTCTAGAGAAATGGGAAAGTAACTCTCCTATACATTCTCCTATTCTAGTCAATCATTTCTTTCCGTTTCTTGCTTCTCTCTCTCCTCTCTCTCCCTCTCCCTCCCCCTCTCCCAATCCCCCTCTTCCCCCTCTCTCCCCTCCCCCTCTCCCTTCCTCCCCCCACCTCTGTATTTGGTATGTGTAGGTATATCTGCATATGTGTGTTCCTGAGTCAAGCAGGTGGAGACCAGAAGTTGGTGGCGGTTTGTGTCAGGTGCCTTCCTCAATGACTCTCCATCTTTTTTTTTTTTTAAGGCAATGTCTCCCACTGAATCTGGAGTTCATTGATTAGCTAGACTGGCTGGTCAGCAAGCCCCTGGGAGACTCCTGTCTCTACTTCCAGCCTGTGCTAGGATTTCAGGTGTGTACCAGAACACCCAGCGTTTTAAGCAGGTGCTGGGTTGAACTCAGGTCCTCATGTCTGCACAGTATGCACTTCACTAAGCTATCTCCCTAGCTCTGGTTAATAACTTCTTAGTGTGTCCAGGAAAGCCCTTTCACAATTCTGTCTAGAGACAACGGATTGTGCAGCAGTGATGTCTAATGGTCAACCTTCCCTTCTTGGTCTCTCTACTAACTTTCTGAATCAATCTATTTATTACCTATTTCCAGAATGAACTCCCCTAAATGTAAAGTGGAACCTCATACCCTTTCTTTTATTAATTAGGTGAAACTGTGTGTATCTGTGTCGGATGGTCCAAGATAAATCTTTGATGTATTTTGAAATCACTATATTTATAAGCTTATAAAAATAAATTTAAAGAGCTGGGTGTGGTGGCACACTCCTGTAATCCCAGCACTCGTGAGGCAGAGGCAGGTCTATCTCTGTGAGTTCCAGGCCACCCTGGTCTACAAAATGAGTTCCAGGCCAGCTGGGGCTACAGGGAGACCCTGTCTCAAAAATAAATAAATAAATAAATAAATAAATTTAAAAATATATATTCATTTAAAATGATTTAACTCAGAATTAAGTAACTAACAAACAAAATCATGAAAGGGGTAATGCAAACAAATAATATAAAAAACTAAACAACCAATTATTTCTGTATCCATTCTCAATATACCACCCAGCTCCATCTCAGTGTGTTCCAACATGTCTCCCTCATTGGAAATACTCCAGCTTAGTTCTAAACATCATATTCCAGATGAGTTCTGGCCTGAGACTACAGTGAAGCTATTCTCTCTTTGTTCTCCCCACCACCACCTTTTAATTGATTTTTTTTTGTGAATTTCATACAACATAGCTTGATTTTATTTAGATTCCCTCTCCTATTAGCACCCTTTTAATAACCTCTACCCAATTTCAAGTACTCTAATGTACATAAATTTTCTTGTGTTTAAAATACCTGCACTTAATATCTGTTTCCTTAATAAAGTTTAAGCACACTGGGGTATAACTGCTCAATCTTCTTAACAGGACAACTGGTTAGGTCAAGCTATATATAGTGTCTACAAGGATTTCATTGAAAACCTTGTCAAATATTTTCCCAATGTTCTAAGACACAACACTTAAACCCTGCATATTCTATGATCCAGCTATTCTATCAAAAGGCAATTACACTATTCTGGCAAAATTTGCTCCCAGTAAACTACTATGTCCAATTAAAATGACCTTAATCTTTAAACACCCCACCCCCACACACTTTAGAATCCTCCACAAAAAGGATATGATTTTTCTGATCCTGAGTCTGTATTACATTCCATCTCTATCTTGCTATGAAATCTTGGGACATGCAAGTTAACATTCTCAAGTTTCATCAGTGCCAAAGGGTGATGAAAATACTATTTTATGGCAGTCTTGTGAAGAGTATACGATATAATTAGTGTCTACAAAGTCCTGAGTACAATATATGGCCCATAGTGGGTTCGTAATTAATGACAACTACAACTGATTTACCATTTTACTCTTTCTAATAATAAAAAAGGAAAATTTAATTCTATTCTTTCATGCTTCCATGACACTTTTCTCATTTACTCTGAGATAAATCTGATTTAAGTGGAATATAGTTCTTTCACCCAAATTTAAGATATACTATAAAATATAGTACTAGTCAGGAGATACCAAATCAGCTGTGGTGTTTCTCATGTAGTCTTGTTTTCCTGTCATTTAGAAACAATACAGCCTGCCACACAGGACTACAGCATGTGGAAAGGAAGAGAAAGATCAGTAGCTACAAAGAGATGATTTTTTTACCTCTCACTGCCACACCCTGCCCTGCACTGTTAGCCACAGTGCTGGGCGTGTGTGTGTGTGGGGGGGGGGCAATCCATGAAAGGACACCTATTTTTATCACTCTGTTAAGTTACAGAGACCAGGGTGAATGTCTTAATGTCACATCAGGCCCTGCAGCACTCAAGGCACTCTGCCTCACACATAAGCAGCAGCAGTATGCATGCAGAGTTTTCTCTGCATGCATCTGTCTCCTAATCCTTCATCCTAGGGTTTCTCACTTTCTTGCTTCAGCCCTCATTTCTTCTCCAGCTTGCACTTATGTGGTTTAACTGATAATTTAGACACTGTGAAATAATATTATGTTGTATTTATTGTAACAGAATTTTAGGTTTTCTTTTTTAATTGGAAAAGTAAATGTCAGAAACACTATCTTTTCCTAAGATACTTCACAAATTAAATTATGGGTTTGTAGCCTGCAACAGAAAAAGGTTCCATAACCCTAAGTTAAAGATGTATTGTTTCAAGTTATACTAAGTTTTCTTAAAAGCTGACTTTTTTTTTTTTTTGTCAAGTAAGTCAAAAAACAAAATTTCCCATAGTTGGCTCTTAAAAGAAACAATTTATCCTGGTTTCGAGTAAGCACACTAATAAAATAGAAAAGTAACATTCAGTAGGAAAAAGCCACATACTTTTCATAGTTCCATCTTCTTCCTCATCCTCACTGTTTATAACCATGGTTCCCAGGTCTGATTCTAACATTGTGCTATTATGTTCAATCATCGTCTGGGCCCCTTCACTCATCGTGCTTGTGGCCCGCATTGTACCCACACTTTCTGAACTAGTCTTCACCATAGTATGTGAATCCAGCTCATCTTCATCCTGTAAGCAAAATACTACAGTGAACAGACTTCTCCAAGATAGCTGAATTTCTTAATTAACAAGATACACATATATTTTTTTCCAATGACAAAAATACTATTATGACTATATATACTCAAAAGAATTAAAAGCAGGAATTCAAACAGATACTTGTATACCTGTGTTCATAGCAGCATTATCCATAAGACAAAAGGTATAATTAAACTAAATATTCATCAGCAAATGAATGCAAAACCAAGATGTATCATACACAATAGAATATCAGCCTCAGGGCTGGAGAGATGACTCAGCGGTTAAGAGCACTGACTGCTCTTGCAGAGGACCTGGGTTTGATTCCCAGCAACCACATGGTGGCTATGAACCGTCCTTAACTACAGTTCCAGGGGAATCAGAAGCCCTCTTCTGACCTCCGCAGCACTGTATGATAAGGGGGCCCTCACATACATACAGGCAATATTCTCATACACATAAAAAAAAATAATAATAAATAAAATATTTAATAGAATATCAGCTTTAAAAGGAAATGAAATTCCAACATATGCTGTGCTATAATATGGACAATCTTTTCTTATGTGGTATGTGCTAGATTCTATGGCAACTCTGCTTAACTGATGAAGCAGCAAACTGTTTTCTGCAGTAGCCATACCATGCTATATTCCCCCAAGCAGTGCCCTGGGTTCTAATTTCTCTACATCCTTGCCAGTATTATTTTCAACTTTAAAAAAGGTTTATTTATGTTTTGGCTGAGAGTGGTGCAAGTCTTTAAATCCAGCACCTGGGAGGCAGAGATGATTCTCTGTGAGTTCATGGCCGGCCTGATCTACATACACAGTGAGTTCCAGGTCAGCAAGGGCTACAGGCAGACGTTATCTCAAAAAAAAAAAAAAAAAAAAAAAAAACCAAAAAAAAAAAAAAAATAAGGTTGATTTTATTTTTAAATATTTTATTTATCTTTATTTTAATTTTATGGATATGCCTGTATTGCCTACATGTATGTAGGTGCACCCATGTTGTGCAATGCTGATGGAGGTCAGAAGAGGGCTTTGGATCCCCTGAAACTGGTCTTTACAGACTCCATTTAAAGCTGCCATTAGCTTTAAATGTTCTGCAGAAAAAAATGTTAGTAATGTAAATATAAATGGAAACTGCCCCTTAGAACATTCAGCAAAAGATACACTGGGATCGGATCATAAAAGCAGACTAAAATTCTATTTGAGTCCAACTAAAGAATCAGCAGTTTGGAAAAACTTGATCACACACTGAAATTCATTTCTATTTTCTAGCAGAAATCCACAATCAAAAGCTAGTTCTGATGGAGGTAAAAATGCAGGCGTGAAGAACAGAAACACCAATGCTGCACTCTCAACAACAGTTATAGTAACAGTTGGTTGATGGTCATTTGACACCCTTCCATTTTCTAAACCTACTCAACACATTCTGTTTAAAAGCTTTGAGCTCTTCTCCTAAAGCCGTCCCTTTTTAGAAGGTGTCTTTACGCTCATGCTTTCAACTGTCTAGCATGTCCTTATTTACTACTTACTTTCCAAAACAGATAGATTTCCATCTATCTTTCTAGTCCTCCTGTTTGCCCAAGACTCCAACCACAAAGCACAGTAATCCTCACTAGCTCTCCAATAATAATCTTTCAATGTCTTCATATATTCATTTCTCTTTCACTCCTATATATAACCTATCAACAAGTTCTTTAGGAAAAAAAATTTCTTTCAGTTTCATTTCTTCTTCCATTCCCATGGCTACTGGGTATACCCTCACTGCTTTATTACTGGGCTGTTGAGTCTAGTTACAGCTCCTGGCTGAAGACTCTCCCACCTAAACTTCTAGGACAGGGCAGATGCTAGTTCTTTGAAATTTCTTACTAGGCACAATTTATGGCAAACATATAAATTCTGAACTCTAATGGTTTCCATTGGTGTTAAGATGACATAATAAGAAAGTTGTGCAAAACTGCATGCTCCCTGGAACAAGGTATTTTCCCACTGCACTCAAATACACAGTTCTCTACGAGTCATTCTTAAATATTATTTGTATCACAATATTCCTATAGAGCTCCTAGTTCTTGCCTTAAAAGCTAACTTTTCACCCAAGTTAATATCTGCTATCTCTTACCTTGCTCTAACTTGCCACTCCTATTTTTTTCATTGTTCATATATCCTCCAAAATAGACAGGCTGGTCATACCTGAATCCACCATAATCCCATATGCTGCTTTGCACAGAAAGACTTACTCTCTGTTCATGTATTCTCTACACTGAATGCCCTTCCTCTCTTGATGGTTAATATAGATTGTCAACTTGACAGAATCTAGAATCACCTAAAGGCCCACTTGTGTGAGATTATCTAGATTAGGTTACCTTTGGCCATGCCTCTGAGGGATTATCTTGATTAGGTAAACTGAGATGGTAAGACCCATCCTAAAAGTGGGCAGTACCATTCCCTAGGCTGGATTCTAGACTTCATAAAAAAGGAGAAAGCTAGTTGAGCACCAGTGTTCACCACTTTCTGTTTCCTAACTGTAGATACAATGTGACCAGCTATCTCAAGTTCCTGCCACCTTGTTTTCCCAACTATGATGGACTGTACCCTAGAATGTGAGCCAAAATAAGATTAAGTTGCCTTTTTCAGGGTATCTGATCACAGAAATGAGAAGCATAACTAATATAGTCTCTATATATTTAACCAAATCCAAGTGTCTTTTATGGTAAAAACGAGGAAGAAGTCAATCTACATTTACCTTTTCACAGAATTATAAAATCAAGGACCTTTATAGTAGGAAAGAAAGTACTTCAATCTCTCATTTTATATCTGGAAAAACTAAGGCCCATAGAAAATAAGAGGCTTCCCTAAGGTTAAGTGCCTATCTAAAAGAGTTGGGACTAAGAAATAAGTTCTTTAATTTTATGCCACCATGTATGTGTAACATTTTTACATTTACATTTTTATCTGCTGGAATGATTAGTTAGGAGGTATAGTCTTACTATGTTAACAGTTCACTTCTCAAATTATTTTTAAAATGAACTATATTTATCAGGGATGGGGAGCATGAGAGTGTCACAGCATGCATGTAAAGGTCAGAGAACAACTTGTAGTCGTTGGTTTTCTCCTAACATGTGGGACTGGGGATCAAAGTCAGGTTGTCAGGCTTGGTAGCAAGCAGCACCTTTACCCAGTGAACTATCTCACTGACCCTATTTCTTCAATTCTTATATCCAGAGTCCCAAACAAATCATTAGTTCATACTGGCCTGAACTATATCTTCTCTCTTAAATTACTAAAACACCCTCCTAACTGTTCTCTCGGTTTCCATTCTCGCCTCTTAGTCTCACAAACAACAGGAAGATTGAGCCTTTCCAAAAGATAAATCATAGCCCCATTACTTTCTTGCTCTAAATTCTGCATCTGGCCTGCCATCCAAAATCTTTATCACAGTGAAATGTGATCTGGCCTAGTAATGTGTTAATTCCATCTCCTGGCACATTCCTTTTTTGCTCACAAACTCACACTGGCCTCTAGCTGTTTCTTGAGAACTCTACGCACGTTCCTCTGTGAGTCTTTGAATTGGCTGATCTTTCCGGACTGGAATGTTGTTCTATAAGACAGTGTGGTCACTTATCTCACTGAGGTCTCAGATGCTATCTTCTCAGGGAGGCTGTCTATGACCACCCATTTAATTGAAGCTGCCACCATTATCTACTCTTCCATCCTCTATTCTTCACAGGCTATGCCTGGCCTTCTCTACTAACAAGAGATGTTTTAACTTGCAAATCCCCACTGCTATGATTATCTGGTACTTAGTTGGTAGGTACATGATATTTACTTCACAAATAAATCAATTTATATTTTCCCTTATTAATTCAATGATCATTTATCAAACTTTGTGATAAGTAGTAGACCAGTAATGGAGATACAGAGATGAGTAAGACACAGTTTTGTTCCATTTGGCTTTTAAAAGAATTTGGGGTCTGGGAGAAACCTCCTGGCATGTGAGCAATAAACTACAAGACAATCTGTTAAGTGCTGTAAGAAAAGTGTTGACAGTATGGCAGGACTCCAAGAGTAGAGCATCTAATGTTTCTTCAATAAGTAAAGAATGCCTCACAGAAGAAGTTACCCTGTAGTTAATCATTTTCCCCTTAAACATTATTTTTTATCAATATATAGTAATTGTACATACTAACAGGACATAGCATATTTCAATACATGTATATAATGCATACTGACAAAATCAGGATAACTATTGTTCCCATCTTTGCACAAATTACTTTGTGCTTGGAACCTTTTAGATTTTGTCTTCTATTTATTAAGTTAAATCATGAAGAACAAGAAGGTTAAATATAAACACATAAACAGATTTATTTGCGTGGAGTGTTTTATATTACAACTATTTCCATGATAACTATTCTCAGACACATCGTTTCTCAGTTCACACATCCCATGGCTGAATTAGGCATCATTCTATTCCCATGACAGCTTGTTCTTATGTTGACTATACACTCATTACACCAGGCTGTAATTGTCTGTATACCTGACTGAGACTCCAAAATCTGAAAGGGCAGTGCCATATTCTAACAGTTACACTCCTGATATCCAGTAAAGGCATTTTTCTTATAATACAATTTTTCAAATGAATGTTAAATCCTTTATTTTGAGATTGCGCCAAAGCACAGAATTAAGGGACAACATTACATGAGGTTATATTGACAGTAGTTGTATTTAAAATACATTTGTTTCTAATTTACAATTCTAAACAGAAAATAGTTATTGAGGAAATTTTGGAAGGGGAAAGAATGCTATTAACTAAAGAATTCAGTTGATTATCCATTTAATAATGATAAAAATAGTTACTCTGAATCAGTTATAGGCACTATATTGAGGTCTTTATATCTCCCATTTAATACTCTTATGAACTCTGTGAGGCATTATTATCTCTCTTGTACAAATGATGAACCTGAGACTCAATTACATTTAAAAGTTTGTCCAAAG